ATGCTTCGAGGTATCATCTTCACTTCCCTTATAAGTGAGAAACAAAGCGAAGGCATAAGATGATGAGTACTCGAGAGCAAGAGCTGGCTGGAGAAAGCATGATATGAGATACTCTTGCTTTCAACCTTCATGATATGAAATACTTTTGCTTTGGATGGGTTGTTTGCAAAGGTACCCCAAGGAATAAGGAACACTGAGTGACTCGAGAGGGTGTGTTGGAAATACATTCTCGGAGATGAAGAAGTGCTGAGAGGGTGTGTCTTTGCTGTGGAAGGCGAAGGTAGATACTTATAGGACTTTTCTTCACAACCGGAACTATTCTCTCACTCATTGTCGGCAGCCGGTGGATGGATGAATAGTACAAATTACGCGCTTTCTGACAAAGCTGCCCGTAATTTCCGCAAAGCTGCAAGTTGCATGTGACGAGTGACGACACGTCTGGACAAATTGATCTTTTGAAATCCGGGGTTCGACTCGTGGTTTCTGAGCAAGCCCAGCTTTTGAGAAATGCAACGCCTCTTTTGAGAAAAGAATCCGGCTTTTGAGAAAGGAGCCCCGACTCTTCGATTTGCGAGAGGACGCTTCTTCGATTTCTGAGGAGCGCCTCTTTGATTTCTTCTTTTTATATAGGCGTTAATTTTGTTCCACAACACACTTGAGCTCCCTCCTGTAAACGTTCCCTTCTTGCACTTCCAAAATCTTAATCTGTCCGATCTCTTTTTTCTTTACCATTCTGAAAAATGTCTGGCCCTTCCGATCGTCGTTTTGACTTGAACATTGGTGAAGAGGCAGCTCCGCCTTTACCAGACAACATATGGCGCCCATCTTTCATATCCCCTACTGGTCCTCTTACCGTTGGGGATTCGGTGATGAAAAATGACATGACCGCTGCGGTGGTGGCCCGGAATCTTGTCACCCCCAGAGATAACAGATTGCTCGCTAGACGGTCTGATGAATTGGCGGTTAAGGAGTCTCTGGCTCTTAGCGTGTAGTGTGCGGGTTCTGTGTCCAACATGGCCCAACGCCTATTTGCTCGAACCCGTCACGTTGAATCGTTGGTGGCTGAAATACAGAGTCTCAAAGAGGAGATTAGAGGACTCAAGCATGAAAATAAACAATTGCACAAGCTTGCACACAATTATGCCACAAACATGAAGAGGAAAATTGACCAGCTGCAGGAAAATGATGGTCAGATTTTACTTGATCACCGGAGGTTTGTGGGTTTGTTCCAACCGCATCTGCCTTCGTCTTCTGGGGCGGCACCGCGTAGTGAAGCTCCAACTGATCAACCTCCGATACCTCCTCCTTCCGTGGCCCCACCAACTGCTAAAGCTCCGCCGACTACTGAAGCACCACCTGACCAATGAATGCTATTAGTTTACACATCATTGTAAAATATTTTTACTTTTATGTTTTTTTTTTTTTTAAGTGTTTTTTTTTTAATATGTAAATTAATGTAAAAAGACTTTGTTTAACCTTCCCCCACACTTAAACTAAATAACACAAACTCACAGAAATCAACCAAATAACACAACTAACTAAACAAAACAAAATGAAAGCAGTAAAGATAAGGGTGTAAGAATGCAAATCTGATTTGGTTAGCGATTCCAAAGTCTCCCTTCGTTGAATTCTTGGGTTGCCTCCCAAAAAGCGCTTGATTTAACGTCTTTAGCCGGACGAATCTTTCCTTTAAACTCCCCTCGGCTCCAAAGCATGGAATTTATCTTTTAATGGGAGGTGATACTTGAAATGATTCGGCAATGGTTTAAATTCAAGAGTGGGTGCCTGAATCATCAAAACCAGAACATGTTAGTATAAATTAAAATTAAAATTGGAGAAGATGGCTTACTTTCTTTTTCTGACACAAACTCAATGACAAACACCACATCTTTGAACATTTCCGGGACTTTGAACTTGGCCAGGTTTACTATGATGGTTGTGGCTTGTCCCGTGTTATCAAACTCAACTGCTTTGGGCTTGATTGTCTCATGCACAGCCTCTTGGATGTATTCTTGATATGCTTCAACCACTTCATTTTCTTGAATCCCTTTTCTTGGTGTGCAAGGTTCTTTGAACGTTTCAATACCATCGGGAACTTGTTTTGGTGCACCAAGAATTGGGATATCACTTTGCACCTTTGGAAGAGCTTCCACAATGTCTTTTTCACTCTCTTTGATATTTGGAATAAAAAACATGCAAGGACATTCGGTGGAATAATGTTTGAATGAAGTGAATTTAGAACTTCCTCACCTGAGTTGGATGACATAGGGATTTGAGGAGCTTGCAGCAAGAATTCTTCTAAACTGCCCAGGTCGTCCTCCACCTCTTCTGCTTGCAGCAGCAATTCATCCATGTTCGGGCTGTGTTTGGATGGTTCTGGGACAGCTTCATCCTTCATGTCACCTTCCAAAGTGATGGCTTCATCGATTTCACTTTCTGCCTTTGAATTTGCAATGTTTGAGTTGGAAAGTTCACTTTGATCTCGAATCTGTGCCATGAATTCCACAATCTGCCCAACTTGCATATCCAATTCGTCCACTCTTTTGACTCGGTCTTGCATCTCCTGGTTTTGATTTTCTACTCCCTGATTCAAAGAGGTGAGTAACTTATTAAGTGTATCATTATCCAAGGACGTACCTGAATTGATTTGGGTTGATTGTTGTGGTGGCTGTGACGGTTCATATGGCTACTGATAGAACTCTTCTGATGGCGGCAATTGTTCTTCTTTTTGTGAACCCTGCGTCAAAGAAATTAGTCCTTCAAGAATTTCATTATAGTTCACGGGCATACTTTGATTTGATTGGAATTGTTGTGGGGGATGCTGTGGTGGCTGCATAGGTCTTGAATAGAACTCGTCTTGCTACCAATATCCACCTTGTTGAAATTGTTGAGGTTCATCCCACATATAATCTGAATTACCTCTCCAATCTGAATTGCAAGCGTTGGAAAACATGTTGCCCCTTGATTGGTTATGGCCTTGATATCCCCAAACATCTTCATTTGCAGAAAATTGAGGACTTTGATATCCTTGCCCATAGGGCACATCAAGTGTAGGGACACTTGGCATTGTGGTCCGTTCGGCATTATGAGTCAATTGAGCAGTGAGCTGTGCCAATTGAGCTTGAATGGTCGTAAGTGTCATGTCTTGCTCCATTTGTACCTAGAATCAAAGAAAGAAAAATAAATCAAATATCAAAAGTAAAATACACAAACACCAATATAAACATAAACAAAAACAAAATAAAGGGATTAGCAAAGTTGCTAATCCCCGGCAACGGCGCCAAAATTTGATGCGTAATATATAAGCACACAAAATTTACCCTCTTTTTGACAATTGTAGTATAGATGTAAGTAGGGTATCGTTCTAGGCCGGGGATTAGGAGGGATTGCTAATCTATTCTAAATTAATTTTAAAATATTAAACAAGACTCAAGGACACAAAACTAGGCTAAAAACTCTAATAACTCGAAACACGCTTAGAATGACTCAAAATAATGAAAACAATCAAATTAGACACTAGGAATTGAAATGGACGGAAATTGAATTAAAAGACTAACAACAATGAAAACTAACTAAATAATATAATTTAATAATGGGGGGGGTTTGGTTTTGACGAGAAGTAAATTAAACTTAAATAAATTACAGAATTGACAAAAGCATGAAATTAAGGTGAAAGGATAGGTGACGGACTAGCTAGAGGGTTCTTCTCCACACATGACACATATGCAACCTAAATTGATTTTCAGTTGTTCTTTCAATAAATTGTAAATCTCAACGCCCCAAATTAACCGTGAATTGCACTAATTAATCCTCAGTTTTTCCACAAGTTATTGGGTTGGATGATTGCATACGACAACCCAAAACATTCCCTACAAGTTCCCTACATGAATTGCATAATAGAGATACAAGCAAGAATCATTAAGTTCTAGGAAAAACATAAGCATTGACGATGCACTCGTTACTATGATTTGCATGAAACTTATGCCAAGAATTTACTTAACGTGATTGTGACTAGCAACCTTCACTACTTGTGAATATAAGTTCATAACGATTAGGTGAAACTCCCTTATATTCTAGCGTCAAATTCATGCATGTAAATTAAGTATGCATTCTTAATCGACATACAAAAATAAGCTATCAATCAAGCAGTTAAGCAAATTAAATCACAACTGAAGGTAATCAATTCATATTACAAATATATTCATGGCTTTGAATTAACCTCTAGCCAAAATAAATTTAGTTACACATAATTATCAAATTAAACCAAAAGTTAAACATGAGTTTGAGAAGATGAAACCAAGAAAATAGAGTGAAGCTTTGCTCCCTCCTTCTGCGCCAGTCTGCTCTCTGTCAGTCTCTCTGCATCCTGCTTCTCTCTCCGCACACTTCCCTGCTTTCACTTCCTCCTCTGCTTCTATCCTGCCGTGTCTTTCTTATTTCTGTTTTCCGCACAGTTTTCTGTGCTCTCTCTCTCTCTCCCTCCTGACTTCTGCTCGTCGGTCTGCACTACCTTCCTCTGCCTTATTCTCTTTCCGCACTGCCTCAGTGCTCTGCTGCTTATTTCTTTTTTTTCCGCCCCGTCCCCCCGCTTCTTTGCTTCCTGCTTCTTTCTTATTTGCCTTTCATTTCTTTTTTTTATTCCTTCTTTTTCTTCTTTATTTTCTGCCTTCTGCTTTCCACTCGTGCCCTTCACAACATGAATCATGATGATGTTTCAAACATCATCATGACTTATCATTATTATTATTATTTTTTTAATTTAATTTAAAAGTTGATCTACACAGACAGTTTTGACGAATTTATTACATAAAATTTCACTTGTTCTATTTTTATTTTCTTTGCATAACAAATCCTATAAACACAAAAATAACGTAAATAGCTCAAAAATATAAGGAACTAACTAAGAAAAGACGAGTGAATTCGAAGTAAAAATATATATAAATATGATCCGATCAAGAACTATCACCACTACCAATAGGATGAGAATTCATGGCGAAAGGATGGAAGATGTGGTGATTATTAAAAAGATCCTGCAATCCATGACTTCCAAGTACGACTATATGGTATGTTCGATCGAGGAATCGAATGATTTGGATATCGTATCCATAGATGAGCTTCAAAGTAGTCTTTTGGTGCATAAACAATGGATCAGCCGCTACACTGTGGAAGAACAAGCCCTTCAGATCACTCACCGTCCTCAGCAAGGAGGAAGAAGTGGTGGAAAAAGTTTGTACCAACGAAGAGGGAGAGGAAGGGGTAGGTTTGATAAATCTACCCTATAATGTTACAATTGTCATAAGTTAGGTCATTTTCAATGGGAATGTCCTAAAAGAGTGAGAGATACAAAGGCCAACTTTGTCGAGACCAGTGAAGATATGCTTTTAATGGCGTATGTGGATGGCACTGATGCTGGAAGAGATTACATGTGGTTTCTTGACTCAGGATGTAGCAATCACATGTGTGGGAAAATAGAGTTGTTTTCACTGTTCGACAATAACTTCAAAGAAACAGTGTAGCTGGGTAATGATACGAGTCTTACTGTGCTAGGAAAAGGCAACATTCGCATGGAGATGAATGGGATCGTGCAGGTGATAACTGAAGTTTTCTTTGTACCCGAGTTGAAGAACAACCTCCTAAGCATGAGACATTTTCAAGAGAAAGGTCTTGCGGTTGTCATGCAACACAAAAAATGCAAGATCTACCATTATGAAAGAGGTTTACTAATGGAGACCGAGATGACAGGCAATAGAATGTTCGCAGTCATTGGTCAATGTCCATCAAAGGAGGAAAGTTGTTTCTCCACTATAACTGCAGATCAAACTCAACTCTAGCATCGTCGTTATGGTCATCTCAGTTGGACTGGTCTTAAGGTGATTCAACGGAAGAATATGGTGCATGGACTGCCTCAGTTGAAGGCTCCCTTGAATGTTTGTGAAGACTGCTTGATTGGAAAACAACATCGCGATCCTTTTCCAAAGGAAAGCATATGAAGGGCATCCGGAGTGCTTCAGCTTGTGCATGCAGACATATGCAGGCCGATAAATCCAATATCGAACAGCAAAAAAAGGTATCTCATAACCTTTATCGATGACTTTAGCAGACAAACTTGGGTTTATTCTTGGTTGAAAAATTAGAAGCATTTGCAAGCTTTAAGTCCTACAAAGCTAGGGTTCAGAAAGAAACTGGTGCATTCGTAAGGAATCTTCGAACTGATCGCGGAGGGGATTTTACTTCACAAGAATTCACTCACTTCTGTGATGAGAATGATATTCAAAGGCAATTAACAGCTGCATATACACCTCAACAGAACGGGGTCGCGGAGAGAAAGAATCACACTATCATGAATATGGTGCGCAACATGCTGTCAGAGAAACAAATTCCAAAGAAATTCTGGCCTGAGGCAGTAAACTGGATAGTGCACGTTTTAAATAGAAGTCCAACACTTGCCGTAAGGAGCAAGACTCCCGAAGAAGCCTGGAGTGGTCACGAGCCTTCAGTAAGTCATTTTAAGGTTTTTGGATGCATCTCACATGTCCATATACCTGATAGCAAGAGAGTCAAGCTTGATGCCAAAAGTCTGAAATGTATACTACTTGGAGTAAGTGAAGAATCTAAAGCCTATAGATTATTTGATGTCGTTGCTTAAAAAATAATTGTAAGTCGAGACGTGGTGTTTGAAGAAAACCAAAGGTGGAACTGGGATGACAGTCACAAGGAAACTATCTTGGCGGATCTGGAATGGGAGGAAGAAGAAGAACAAGGTACAAATGAAAGTCTTGGCAAAGAAAGTGATGAACAAGAAAGCATAGGGTCAGTTCAAGGTGACTCATTCGAAGAAAGAGAGTCTTCAATTGACGGGAACACTTTTCATGCTAGACGAAGTTGAAGACCACCAACGTGGATGCAGGATTATGTAAGTGGTCAGGGCCTGTCTGATGAAGAACACGGCGATATGGTTCATCTAGCCTTATTTTCTAACAGTGATCCCTTGACGTACGAGGAAGCAGTAAAGAGTGACAAATGGAGACATGCCATGGATGTAGAGATCAAAGCTATCGTGAAGAATAACACATGGGAACTCGTTGAACTTCCACCTGGAGTAAAAACGATCGAAGTCAAATGGGTTTTTAAAACGAAGCTCAATGAAAATGGTGAAGTGGACAAATATAAGGCTCAACTTGTCGCGAAAGGGTATAGTCAAAAGTATGGTTTGGATACCATTCGAGCAGTCATCTCACTTGTTGCATGCAAGAGCTGGAACATCTACCAACTAGACGTTAAATCTGCATTTCTGCATGGAGAGATAGATGAGGAATTATTCATGGATCAACCACCAGGCTATGAACAATAGGGACAAGAAGGTAAGGTATATCGACTGAAGAAGGCGATGTATAGGCTCAAACAAGCCCTTCGAGCTTGGTACAGTCGAATAGAAACTTACTTTAGTAGGGAAGACTTTGAGAAATGTCCTTATGAGTACACCTTGTTCATTAAAATGGGCGATAAAGGTAAATTTTTGGTTATGTGCCTTTATGTTGATAATCTTATATTCACTGGTAATGATGAGACCATGTTTGAAAGCTTTAAACAATCCATGATGGATGAATTTGACATGACTGATCTTGGAAAGATGAGGTATTTCCTTGGGATTGAAGTTTTGCAAAGAGAGGATGGTATCTTTATCAATCAACGGAAGTATGCTCAGGAAGTTTTGGAGAGGTTTAGTATGGATCAGTGCAATCTGGTGCACAATCCGATTGTTCCTGGTTCTAAATTAACCAGGGATGAAAATGGAGTAAGAGTTGATGAGACATTATACAAACAAATAGTAGGAAGCCTCATGTATTTGACTGCCACTCGTCCTGATCTAATGTTTGTCGTGAGTTTGGTCAGCAGATATATGGAACGACCTACGGAACACATCTGCAAACAGCGAAAAGGGTAATACGGTATGTGAAAGGTACAGTCAGTTTTGGAGTGTTCTACAAAAAGGGAGGAACTGAAGAACTCGTTGGCTACACAGATAACGATTATGCTGGTGATTAGAATGATAGAAAGAGAACATCTGGTTATGTTTTTACTCTGAGTTCAGAAGCAGTTCCTTGGTCTTCAAAGAAACAACCAGTAGTCACTCTCTCAACTACCCAAGCTGAATTCATCGTTGCAGCATCTAATGCTTGTCAAGCTGTATGGTTAAGAAGAATCTTGGAGCAGCTTAATCATGGTCAATACAAACCAACGGTGATTCATTACGATAATGTTTCAGCAATTAAATTGTCAAAGAATCCAGTCATGCGTGGTCGAAGTAAACATATTGATGTACAATTTCATTTTCTTCGAAAATCTCGTCAAAGATGAAGTTGTTGAATTAGTGCAATGTTCAACTCAGGAGCAAATTGCAGATATCCTGACAAAACCACTAAGGCTCGAAGTGTTCGTGAAGATGCGTGATCTCATGAGTCTCTACGAATGTCCAGGGGTAAACTGAATGTTGATAGAATTCAGTTTAAGGGAGGATGTTAAAGTTGTTAAGATCTCCTAGCTGATAGGGTTAGGTTTTCCTTGTTTCTAGGTCGTAGTGGTTTGAAGCCATGCATAATAATCCGTAGTCTTAAGGGACATGTTATCTTCTGTTTTGGACTTAGTCTTTCTCCATGATTTTAGGGCTGTAAAGTCGTGGTTGTTATTTCCCATTCAGTTTGTTTTCAAGGCTATTTAATAGCCATGATTGTTTTCTAATTCAATAAGAAATATTTTCCCTGCATATTGAAGTTGTCGTGTTTTTGTTCCTGTCAAGCTCTTTGGCATTACACCTGGTTTTAACAACATCCTGGCAACCCAACTGAAGACACACCTGCACCGCAGCACGTAGTGCTGCAGCTTCAACCATTGCTGCTGAGCTAAACAGCAGCCCACCATCCCCTCCCGTAGCCACCCACAACCCAGCAAAGTCACGCAACACCCATCCAAAGCTACCAAGCACCATCACAATTGATTTTTAACACCCCAAAATCTAGCCTTCTCCACCGCACGGGTTGACCTGCAAAGCTGGCTGAATGGCATTGGCACGGTTCCAATACTCAAAGCGGTACCCTCTCATCATCATGAGCCACTCTAAATTCCAAAATTTGCATTCGAACCACATGAACCATCTCCATAGGGTTAACAAGGACCCCATTAAACACCATTTCATTCCGAGATTTCCAAATTCTCCATAGAACGAAAACACACTCCTGCAATTATTCTTCCCGCCGATCATTATCTCGAAACCTTGTACAGAGACTCCACCAATAGTCCATAAAATCCCTCCCAACAGTATCCCCATATCTAATTGCAGGGAAGAACCATACCACAGCACCCGACTAAAGGCACATTCAAAAAACAAATGGTGTTCCGTTTCCTCTGCCTCACCAGACATCAAGCATAAACTATCCACATGCATCCGGCGGCGAATCAAATTAGCCCTTACAGCTAAGGAATTAGTACAGCAACGCCACACAAAAAATTTAAATTTATTTGGGACTAACAATCGCCAAATATCCCTCCAACATTGATCTCCTTCATCCCGGCGACTGCACACCAATCCCCTTCCTCCCAAGCTCCCCATTAGCCTGCATATCCATCGCAACTCCATACCCCGTACAAACAGTATAATCACCACTTGACGAATAATGCCAAATAATCCAATCCATGCACCCTGTCACACTATGAGGCAATTCGAGGATAATATTACTCTCCTTCGCATCAATGACATATGATTAGGGATGGGCAGTGGTTATGGCGGACGCGTAACTGTAATTATTTATCCATAACCGTTTATTCTCATACCCGTATAATCGTTTACCCGTTGGGTAATTGCCTAAACGGTTATACACATACTCATAAACGTTTATAAATGGTTAACCATACCCATAACCGTGTACCCATTTAACTGTAACCGTTTAGTACCCGTTTACCCATTTATCATTTTTTAACCCATTTATCCTTTCTTTTTTACCATTTACTGATTTTTCATCCGTCCCTGTGTTTTTTTAACAACTTGAAAATTAAAAAAGAAAAATTTGTCATAATTTTCTTTTTCTAACAATTAAACATCTTTATAGGTACATTCATCATACATTTCTGCATTTTAATTTTTTAAGTTCTTATACCATTCCAATAACTGAAATAATAGTTTATAAACGATATTTTTAACTGTTAATAATGAAGGTAATATAAAATTTGCTAAGTATTATTGGGTTACGAAAATTGTTAAAAGACAATATTCTTGGGTTATTTAACTCGGAATGTAAAGTATTAACATAATATATATAATGGACCATGAAATTTAAATTGGTTAAGGAAAACTATATTATATTAGCTACAGAAATCATGCACTATAGTCAATAGCATTGATCAAAGTTTTGTTCGATATGGAACATGGTTTGTGTTAATTATATATATATAAAATAAATGGGTAAACGGTTACTCGTTTATAACCGCGGTTAATACCCATAACCACCTATTTAAATTTCACGAGTAAACGGTTATATTCATAACCGTTTATTTATCTAAACGGTTACTCATAACCGTAACTGTAAAATTTAAATAGGCGAGTAACCGCGGTTACCCATAACCGATGGATATTTGCCTAACTCTAGTTGGGATCTTACTTTATAAGTGTGAGGCCGTGTAAACCAAGGGTCTTGACAAATGCGAATACTCTTCTCATCCCCCACCCGCCACCGTAAGCCTCTCTCCAAAACCTTCCTTCCCTGAAGAATACCCCTCCAACCCCAAGAAGACCATCTTCCCTCGTTGGCCTCCAAAAACGGTGGATCCGGAAAGTATTTAGCCTTTAGTATTTGGCCCAATAAGGTATCAGGATTAAGCATAATTCTCCACCCAATCTTTGCCAAATAAGCTAAAGTTGAAAGCCAGTAAATCTCGAAACCCAAGGCCACCGGTCTTCTTACTCCGCTTCATTTTCTGCCATGAAACCCAATGCATACCTCCTTTATCCTTATTTCCCCGCCACCAAAAATTAGATATAGCAGATTCCACCTCCCTACATAGTCCCACAGGAAGCTTAAAACACAACTTCGCATAATTTGGCAACGCCATAACCACTGCCTTAATAAGAACTTCCTTTCCAGCAGGAGAAAGAAACTGTTCAGCCCACCCATTAATCCTCCCCTCCAAAATCCGCATTAATCCCCAAATATTTACCACATTCATCCTTCCCCTGAATATTAGTACACATAGCAATTTCATTACATTTTCTGATAGTTCAAATTGCCACTACGAATTCATCCTTCCCCTGAACTTGGGTTAATGTGAGATGCAAAATGATAATTCAAATTGATACTTTTCTGATAGTTCACAGTTAATTTAGACTGGAAATGAAGTACTGATGATCAGGCATGTGGCCGAGGTTTCTTTTTACGAATTGTTATTAGCGAACGACGAGAGCTCGAAAAAAGCTGTAGGACCTCGAGGTGTAAAGCGAGGACTAAGCTATGAGGATGCAATTGAAGACCAATTGACAGTCAGCAGTGCTGAAACGACTTCTGAAGATACCACACCTGTTCATGAACACTTGAAGCAGCTGTCGGAAATAATAGACACCATTGAAGGTAGTCGCCCCGACTTGATCGGCCCAGTCAATCTCCTTAACCTCTTTGGTCCTCCTTCAGGTTCTAAATCTAAAGATGGTCGTAAAAAGGCCACTTGAGGAGTTATGCTGTTAAAAGAAGGATTAAGTATACTCACTGAAGCCAAACACCTGTTAACCGTTGTGGATGATTCAGAGGCCGAAAAGTGAATTACATTGATATCTCGACACTTGTTGATATGATGAGGCGGTATAAAATTTAGTTCCCCTAGTATTATTCTTGTTATCATATTAAATAGCAATAAATATTGTAGTTCATACAATATATATAAATGTCAGAATTTTTAATTTAATAAATCAGGAAACAATCCGTTTATTTTGCTTGCTAATTCATATATAAGCTAGTCTGTTCTAAGTTCAATTAGTTTGTTGAGTGAGTATCATATTTGCACAAGTGCATCATTAATTGTAGATATCGCGGGTTAATTACACCAACATCTCTTAAAGTTTATTGCATTTTCACAAAATTCCCTCACGATTGAGATACTACACTTACGGTCAGATCTGTTGTACAAGAGTAGTATCAAATCGATTGGAAACCAACTCAATATAACCGACATGAAATATACTAATTGAAATGCAAGAACAAAATAGAGAAGACAATATTTAACGAGATTTTTCAACGGTCAATGTAACTGGAGTACATCTTCGGAGCAAGAAGAGGTCTCCAATAATCCACTATTAACCAAATAGGAGGGTTTACAAAGTGTTTGGCAATCTTACAACCCAAAACTCCAATACACCTAATAGTTCTCACACGCTAAAAAAACAAATAGAAAAGAAAATATTGTGAATAATTTCCTTCCTATATAAAGCTTAAAGCTAATACTGTAATACAACAACTACAACGTTGATGGGTGGTTGCTAACAAAATGGGAACAGTAGCTCTTCTTCTCTTTCACAAATGGAGCTGTCAGCTCTTGCTATTTTTCTCTCTGCTGCTTAAACCAAAATTGGCAGTAGCTCCTTATATATACTCTGCCGAATAAAACCCTAGTACGGCCCCAATCGTGGGCTATTAAAAACCAAACATTGGGCTGGTGTGCTTATAACTTCAGGCCTCCACGGTGTTCTTCGACACCCCAACGCCTCTAGGTAATAACCAACTTGTTAAACCTTCAAATCTCTACCCTTTTCTGAAAATCCAGCTTTCAAAACTGGGACGGTGGGGAGGTTGAGATCGAGGTCGAGGTGGGAGCGGATGAAGCTGAGGGAGGTCGACGAAAATGGGGCGGGGTTGGTTGACAGGGAAGGTAATTGAAGGGGCAAGTCCAATTTTTTATTTATAATTTGTTTTTTAATTTACGTGGAGAAGTTTGATTGTCACATCAATAAAAATATGGACCTGCAGTTGTACACCATTGCTTAATAGTCAAATTAACGGTTTGATGCAACTAAAATACAAATTTGTCTTTGACATTGTCATGTTTTAATGATTGTATGGGTTGCAATTACATCCAAACTTGAAAGGATACAACATAATTTACCCAAGGAAGGCAAAGTAAACCATGAGCAGATGCGCAGCAAATACAAACCAAAAACCAACAATACTGCTGAGTAGAAATTTCGCATTGTGAAAAGAAAACACAAGAACTCATGCAGAAATATAAACCCAGCCCACCTAAACACCAAATTTGATATGCAAAGTTTTATCTGTGTTCCAAATTTAAGGTTAAATCCAAACAAAAGGTTCAATTTGATTGTGCCCTAACAGCATATCGAATGGGAGCCTTGTGGCCTAAACAAATTGATAATTTTTCCTCACAACTGGAAAAAATTAACTTCTAACCCAATCAAGTTTGCCTAGTCCAAATTGAAGCCTATGTAACATGCAAGTGTAAGACATATTCTGAAATCACAACAATAAGACATTAGGATCATGAATAAATCAAATCAATATAAAATAGAGATTAATTAATTATATTAAACTTATCTGTAGAATACGGAAGATATTGCAGATTTCTAGGTTGTCTTTTATTTCCAGTACTTCAATAATATCTCTCTGCTATATGAATAGGGTTTAGCGTATCTGAAAGATTAAGCGTATGGAAGCAGGGACTTAACCATAGTATTTATATCATTAGGGTTTAATCACAGCCAACCTATTATTGGTTGTGAAAGTCAAACTGTATCACTTAAGTGTTTAAGTCCCACCATGATACTATATCTTTGTAGTGAAATCCATCAGATTTCTTTAGGTCAATTGCAAAGGATAAGACTCCATAATCCTTATTTCATTAGGACTATCAGATTACTTAAGTTGTTAACAACTCAATAAACAAGTGGCCTACAACATAAGTAATCCAACACATCATTCATTGTCATTCACAACCTTACATTCTCCCACTTGAATGTCAATGATTTATCCTAACAAATAAGAACTCATGGTGATCACTGAGTCTTCATAAGTATGCAACAACCTTTCCTAGCAACCTGTAACTTTGAATTGAATGCAGAACCAAAGAACAACTTGGTATGTTCCTTGCACTCCAAGATCACATAAACATTCAACTTAAAGCACTTTGTTGCTAACAAAGTCATGGTCTCAAGAGCTAATAGTCAAAACATTAGCTCACAATAGTCGAACTGAAAATATATTTCAGTACAAAAGTAGTTCACAAAAGAACTCAACAACGTTGGTAACAACATCCAACTTTTCTGTTAATTTAGAATATGATAAGAAAACAAGTAAAATACAACATACTATTTACAAAATCAGGATCTCTTATTAAAACTTATGAACAAAACTTAAACAAAAAACTCTTAAAATATCAACCACTAACACTTCAAAATTTTAACACAAAAGGTAATCTCTTACTCCCACTAATTAAAAGAGACAAAATTATATAAATTATTATTACTCCCACTGATTAAGAGAGTAAAAAAAAAAACTTTGTAAAGGTCTACATAATGAAATAGATACCTTTCAAATACTCCCATTAGCAAAACATTAGTCATGGGATCTAAAACATAAAATTAATGAGCTCAGCATCTTTATTCTAGATATCTGTAGGGAAGTGATCTTTGTGACTGAAAAACTATACAAAATCATTTGGTCAGTTTTGTTCATCTAACATTGACAAAAATAGAAAACTTTAACTAAATGTTTTCTTACTGCATCAAAAACATATAATTCTAGAATCATCTTTAGACAAAAACTAATTATATTAGGTTTGCATAGCTAAAACATAAAATACAAGGGAAAACGTATATAGCTTCAACACTTTTGAGCATATGAAGTAAATGCAATCTTGTCAATTTCATGTTTCAATATACATTGATTTATAGTTGTATTGAATAAGAAAAAACTTTTGAGTAGATTAATTATTCATCAATAACATATAAATCACAAGTCCAATTTCTTGAACAACAAACAAGAATTAATAAGCAAAACACTTTTGAGCAGAATATACTCATCAACCCTTCTTGAATTTCCTACAAGATTAGTTGCAACTTGCATATATAAAATATAAACTAGCATGATAATGTACGTTTTATCTACCAAAACTATGACCATTAAAAGCATGCAAAATTGATGAGTGTGAAGCCCATAATACATTATTTCTCCCACTTGGGCAAACACTCAAAATTGCAAAATTAAACACTAGAGAAAGTGGTTTTCATATAACAAAATATAGGCTAGTTGAATCAATAAAGATAGTGTACACAATCCATTATATAATATAACATGGCAAATTTTTACAAAGTTTGAAGTTAGAAAAATCTATCAAAATTGTAATCCAATAGGACACGTTGCAAGGTATGCAAAAACTCCATCAGTATTTCCCAAGCTCCACCAAAATTTCAGATTTAATCATAATTTAAATAAAACCAATTTACAATCTTTAATATGCTTAAAACACGAAAATTTCCTAAATAAATTTGTTGAGTCACAAAATTGTTGATTTGGACATAATAAACCAATCTATATGTATCAAAATTAGGATTATATAAGGAACAATATCTCAACATCATTAATTGATAAAAGTGACAAGCGATTAAGAAGACACATATGTGTTAAAGATTAGGTCATAAATTAAAATGAAACCTAATAAGAGAATCCAAACTTAAAATTTATGTTTTAATTCTAGACAAAGTCGGTTAAAGTAAACATATAGATATCTCAACAACATCAAATTTTCAACAATAATTTTAATCCAATTTAGAACTCACAGAAAATTAAGGAAAAAGATTGGCAAATTTACCTACTCATTCTCGATTTTGAAAGATTCATCATGGAAGTAGTCGAGTTGTGGAGGATCGAACCAACTCCAAATTGCATGATTGTTACACCTTTGGGCAGAAACTAATCATGCAAAGAAAATACCTGCATAGCTAGCCAAAACATAAAATACAAAACATACATATAGCTTCAACAGCTTTGGCCAGATGAATATATGTTAGAAGTACTTTATGATTTGCTATAATACTAATTTATAATTGGTGAGTGATTTCCTAAAATTCCCATTGGGACAAAAGTATTCACCATATAAATTAGAATTCTGATTTTTCAAAATAATCCTTTAGAACAGTATTAAATAACCATTTGGTTGGATATTCAATGATTCTCAAAAGATTCAATCAAACACAAAAGTATGTCGTTGTTGACGTTGAACAATAGAGTTCTCGAAAGAGGAAACATGGTTATTCAATTATTCGATAGGAACCAAAATGATCAATTAGTAAACCGATGCCACTTCCTAATTTTCTCTCAAAAGACAATTATCATCATAATCAGAATTGATGACCAAACAAAACATTGGTTTAAGCAAAACAAACCAATACATATTTCAATCAAAATTTAATCAGTGTTGTCTATAAAATTCATTAGTATTGATAATTGGCATAAAATAAGGACATATTGGAACCATAAACTTGTATAATAATTGGTACCAATAGATGTGCACAAATCAGTGAAATGATATCACAACAACAAGACATTAGGATCATGAATAAATCAAATCAATATAAAATAGAGATTAACTAATTATATTAAACTTATCTGTGGAATACGGAAGATATTGCAGATTTCTAGGTTGTCTTTTACTTCCAGTACTTCAATAATATCTCTCTGCTATATGAATAGGGTTTAGCGTATCTGAGAGATTAAGCATTTGGAAGCAGGGACTTAACCATAGTATTTATATCATTAGAGTTTAATCATAGCCAGCCTATTATTTGTGAAAGTCAAACCCTATCACTTAAGTGTTTAAGTCCCACCATGATACTATATCTTTGTAGTGAAATCCATCAGATTTCTTTAGGTCAATTGCAAAGGATAAGACTCCATAATCCTTATTTCATTAGGACCATCAGATTACTTAAGTTGTTAACAACTCAATAAACAAGTGACCTACAACATAAGTAATCCAACACATCATTCATTGTCATTCACAACCTTACAGCAAGGTCAAACTAGCCCGAACCGAAGTCTTGGGACTACGTGAAATCCATTTTAAGGTTAGAATCTTAGCCTCTAACCCCTCAACACTAGAACCACAAAAATATCAATAGGCCATATCATCGTTTTAAGGGGTCTCGAGCCCTTGCCCCAAGGCCAATAGGGAGCACAAGGTACTTCACATTGAAAGAGAATTTTCAGATGGTATTGAGAAAGAATGATTTTATCGCTTTGGATACACCTTGTCTAGAATTTGTGGTAAGCTGGAATCACAAATTAAATCAACAATTTGAACTATTATGTCTTAATATCTTGCAGAAACATTAACCATCTTTACAGAGTTTTTATCGCAAAATGCTTTGGTATTAGTTGGAGTAGAGTTGGGTTATTTAAACTCTTCTCTTCTCATAGATACAGTCAATGTGAGATATTTCAACACATGCTCAAACTATTGACCCATCCAATACAAATTTGCCTCCTTTGGATAACTTCTTTCACAAAAACTTCTTATAGGACGCCATTGAAATAAGTCACATACTTGCCCTAGGTCCTTGATGCATTTCTGATTTGTGATGCCTTGTTTTCCAAGTAAATTGCTATCGATCGAGCGGGAACGAATAAGACTCTTCATAAGTATGGATATGATGGAATGTGCTTTGTTGAAGCATAAAGTTTTATTCAGAATAATCTCCTAGTATTTTATAGTCCTCACATACCCTACCTCCATTTCTGAAATTTCTTTTTCTCTCCTTTCCTTTATCTTCTCCTCTTTCCTTTCCCTTATTCATCTCTAATGGGATGACCAAGCTGGACATAAAGATCATTCCTTTGTTAAGACCAGGTTGCTACTAAAGGGTCTATGTTGCAGGTATATGTATCTCAATTGATATTTGCTCATTAGACAAAAGTTTGCAACCAAACATGAAGATGAGATTCAGACGTACGACGTTATCATGCAACGAGATGATATGTCATTGTAATAGTATTTGAAACTGATCATACATATTATATAGAAACGGTAAAACACATCACAATACAGTGCATAACTGACTTCAAAATTGAAATACCGACCGTGACATCCCTTCACACGTAAACTTCTCAGTCGCTAAGAAGGTTAATCGAGCATGAGTCTCTTAGAGCGACCATGCATGATTCCATGTTCACAAGTAAAATGAAGGATAAAATACTAAGAAGTAAAGAATGGCACGTGATAGAGGAGAGTCCACGTGCAACCCATGTGAAAGTGGGGCGGGTCCACGCTCCATTCCCAAAACGGAATCTGAGGTCAATGGGAGCCATTAAAACATGTCCACATACAGCTCTTTAGATCATCAAGCCACGTGGAAACGAAAACCAGACAAGGCCCATAACGTTGCCGTTTTACAAGGCACTTTGGAAACATGCTAGTAATAATGGCAATTGAAAGCCATGAGGGACAACAAAATCTTACAATATCCCACTAAAGAATCTGAAAAACAGAAAGCGGAAAAGAAAAAAAAATTTATATAACGCAACAGTATATGAATTTACAATCAAATTTGCATGGTTAAATTTTGACAATCTTAATCCAGTCGATGATATCGGGGTGAAAAACCCAAACCGATTAAGGAAAATGCCTAAAAGCATACATATTTATATATATTGATTTAATTAACGGATGCTTTGATAGGAATGGAATCATCACAACTCAACACACTATTTTATAACTAAGTTAACAAAAAAAATATAGAAAAAAATAATAAAAAGAAAAATCCAGCACACATGACATGTAGGGGGAAATATTACTACTTCCCCATGTATGGTACAAATATGAAGACCGAGAATTTTCTGACTGGTGAGGGGGAGGGTTTTGGAGGAATTGAAGATTTAGTGATGGGGAGGAGCTGCGGCTGCTAGTGGCGGTTTTGGAGGCTTGCACTGATAGCACTTGGCAAACAGCCCAAATGTGTCGACCTGTCTCACAAAGTTGGTCATGCTGGCCCAGCCACCGAACCCGAACCCAATCACCAGAACCCACACCACTATGAAGGAGTTGATTACGTACATGGCAGTCCAGCTTCGCAAAAAGAAAGGTGGCTTCTCTGCAGCATTCTGCAAAAGTACAGTAAAAAAATTAACCCAAATCGATAAACCTTGGTTTTTAATAAAGAGTCTGCTTGGCTTCTTACGGTTAAAAAGTTGTATGATCTCGTACTTTTGATTCTTATAGAATATGATTCTCACAACTCTCATACTCACATTACTACCTAAACAGTGTTAATTACGTGAATCAAACTCAGACAACCAGATTATTATATATGAGAATCAACTTTATATAATACTGTAAAAGATCTCAGACGAATAAGTCTTTCGAATAAGGATTTTTGGGTTTAGTTTAGAATCTTTGAAAATAATACTGTAAATACTAGATTCATTTTTCTTTCAAGTCTTTTCACTTGGACTAAAGTCAGCACCAAACTGACCTAACGGAGAGGAAAAAGAGGACAGAGAACCACTATGGATTTCATTGTCCGGAGCCTAAAGACCAAGCAATCCAGAATACTCAAATTGAATCGGACGTCCCCATCCAAATTCAAGAAAAAAAGACCTAATCAATCAAACAGCTCATCGGAAGGCAGAGGTACAACTCTCCCAACTGTAGCATATAACTAAACGAAAGGGACCGCCCACCTATCTCAATTCTTCTCCTAACATTTCCAAATCCAAGTATTAAATGATCTTTGTACACTTGCTGCCCCTCTCATCCCCACTGCAACTACTGAAATGTGGGTATCCCCATCGTGTGTCCTGGTGGAGGTGCCCACTCAAAACTACAATGACTAATATACCCCCTCTCAATCAAGATAACTACTAGTCGCCACTAGACAAACCACTTAATTATTCGCCTTGTGATAGTAGCACTACATAACAGTGACATTATAACCTAGGTTTACCGTGACATGATCAATCACGATATGTCATCAACTCACTGGAGGTAACTACAAGTGTTGCCACTAGACAGAGAACCTAATCACTCGCGCGTGATGGTACGACTACGTGACCTTACATGATAACCAAGGGTTACAAGTTCAACGGAATCCGAACTTGTCTGTGACAGTAACATAACGTGACATGACCAATTGGAGTTGCCATTAGGAGGATATATTTACCTGTCTGGCAGAGGCTTTTCTGTAGGTGAGCATATGAGCTAGAGATGGGATGATATAGACAGTGAAGCTAACCAAGAGAGCCCCAACGGCAGAGTTGATGGGCCCAAAGAAGGGGAAGATTATAGCCAAGAACCAAATTGGGATCACAACCGGAAGCCTAGCAAGTGCCCTCAAGCAAATGCTCTTTGTGTCATGCATGCCAATCACCTTCTCCCACACAAAGTACAATGGTGTACATGCAAACCCAAATGTTATAAACTGCAAAACAGTTAACCCCCCAAATAAAATAATGTCAGCTCAATGCAAGGCAAGTTATTTCCGTGCACCTTTTTTATATCCCCGCACACGCCTTTTTCTGGCCTTTGAATTGAAACCAAAGGATTGTAACAAACATGCATGTGCGGAAATCATTTTCTTTGAAGAATTAGTGTATGGAATGATTGAGGTCGAACCTGGTGGATGAGCATGAGTATGACGGCGGCGTCGCGCCAGCCGTTCTTGGGGAGGAGAGAGAAAGCGTTGGAGTGGTTGAGAAGCTCGTCACCAAAAGCCCAGTAGACAGAGGTAGCAGAAGGAATTGTTAGTGTGAAAACGTACAATGTGGCATACAAGTAAATGTACTTGAATTTCTGTGGCTTCCACATGGCATGCATAATTTCCCTGCAAAAATAAAAGTAAAAATCCCCCCACAATTCACTGATCAGATTCCCTTCACATTAAAAAGGATTCAGATTTCACTAATACTTTTACTCTAATTTTATTAATATTAAAAGGTCAACATGCACATAGGTGAACATAATTTTAAAAAATAAAAACCAAGAAAATTGACCAAAGGCCCCCCCAAGGTCACATCTTTCTATAGCTGTTATGCAACTAAATAATCAAATTTCCTAATCTCTATCTTAAAATAATACTATATGACAAATAACCAAAAACTTTGAAACATGATTGGTCACTTGAGCTAGTAGAACAGTGTGATCGACCAGTTAGTTGCCTTTAAGTTCGAATTTTCATTTTCTTTAATTAGACAGTTTAGAGTACTCAAATTCGAATATCCCTTTCCGTTAATTACAACCGTTTAAAACACCTTGTTGAACAATGGAGCATGGATTCTCTATTGGTAAAGTAGGTAGGGACCAATTAATTTCCGTTGCAATTTTCCTAGAGAAAATGGGGATTTGGGTTGGGGTGGGGGGTAAATAAAAAAGTTGTTTATCCAATAGCAAACCAAAAGATTAGATAGGATGATTTTGTCTGTGGATCTCGAAAACCGAGATGCCGGCAAAAGCTGCAGAGAGAAGCCGTGTAGAAACAAGTGAAACAGTAGGAGGGAAGGGTAAAAAAATAGGAGGAAAAAGCTTACACAGTAACAGCATGCCCACCGAACGTGTATAGTATGTTGGTGGCTCCGGTGAAATACAGCACTAGCTTTGTTGGAGCTGTGTGTGTCACACCTTCATCCTGCACAGCAATTTCACGAAAAAGCATATAACTTTCCCTTTTATTTTTACCAAAAACGTAAAGAGAAATAAAGCATTTTGTAAAGTTGGAAATAATAGTGACTTTTCTAAGACATTTGTTTGAGATACCGTTGTTCTAACATCTCAAACTAATGTAACGGTATCTCAAATCAATCATTAATTATACACATGATAATTCGTAATATGCTAGTAGTGCGTGATATGTTTTACCACTAACGTGCCATCACAGATGTCGTAAGTTTAGGCCAGCGATTTATTACCTGGCCATGAACAGCAGCTGCAATGGTCAAATACCAGGCTGTGTAAGTGGTCATTCCAAGTCCGAGAAAAGACCAAATCCGATAGTTATGGAAAGAAGGTATAAAAACTGTGGTGGCACAGCAAGCTCCGAAGATGTAGGTCCAGGTCCTCTTGTCCAAATTGTCATTGATGTAATATATGTTACTGCTCCCAGTCAAAAAACAGTAAAAATCAGACGAAACCCAGGTGAGATTTGCAGGATTTGACAGTAAAAAATATAGAGAAGTAAAAATAATCACCTGGCACAAGCAATAAGCTGGATGACAGATCCAAAGAGGAGGAAAGTGCAGTTGAAAGCAAGCCCCAAGGCTTTCCAGTAAGGGCCAAGTAACCCATCAAGAACTTCAAACCACTGCAACAAAAAACATGGAATTTTAAATTTGGTTCATTTTATCTCGCACACTTTCGCTTTAGTGGATACCACGACAAACCTGGATGACGTGGTTCTTGAAGTTAACGTTCTCTTTCTCCTTCCGGCTTCTGTACTCCATGTAGAGCACACTGATCAGATAAGCCGTCCAACTTCCGACGATTCCGTAAAAAATTTGCAGTAAGATTCCGGATAGTAACCCCAGCTGAGAGAACGAGTAGGGCAGTGTCAAAAGCACTTGTGCCACCTGCAAAAGCCAGAAGTTGTTAGAATCAGAAACTTTGTGAAACAACAAATCGAGAAAGTACTTTTTTGGACATGGGTTTACTTGATTGGAAGCGCAGCTGAACCAGGCGTCCCAGACAGAGCCGCCATGCCAGAGGAAGTTCTTAACATTAAACATGGAGGTGTTTTCCTCATCGTTTTCTTGGAGATGTTCTTCTTTTCCTTCATGGTCATTGGAGACTATTGCTTCCTCTGCTTGCTTCTGAGCCAACATTGTTCTCGAAACGCAACGTCTGAACTAAATCCTGGTAGATCTGAAACATACATAAGGACAGTAAATAAGACAAACAAAAAAGTTCAAAAGAAAATAAAATACTAAAATCAAAACGCACCCCCAGAAAACGAAAGCCAATAAGAACCCCAGATCCAAAAACCCAGAAGTAAATTCCTTCCAAAATTTAAAAAAGATTGGACCTTTCACAGAATTCAAGTACAAAAAAGAAAACCCGGATTACAAAATTTTGGTTAAAGTCCCATACCTTGCTTGAAATGTCACTTTCTCTCGATCTATGACTCTGCTCTTTTAGGCGGTGGAAATAGAGAGGGATTTGTAATTTATATGCAAGTTGATGAGGGAGTCTGGTTTTTTAAGAATTCTCCATTCAAAGAATTGGCAGAGAGATTGAGTGGCCTTAAATGCTTTTGAAATGATTTAACAACAAAATCTGCAGCTAAAGATCTCTCTCTTACTCTCTGTTTCTCTCTCTCTCTCTCTAGGTAGCTGCTGCTGCTGCTGCTGTGTAACTTGTGAAGAAAGCCAGACTTTAATGCGCCACCAATTTGGTCAGAGGGCCGAACACGAAGACGGCGAGGAGCCCTCAAAAGCAGGAAAAAAGCAAAAAAAATCACAATCACTTATGGAGTGCTTCAGAGGTGCTGGCAGAGGTTGAAGAAGAAAAGACCCTTTTCGCTCTTATTCTAGTAAATGCATATAAACTAAGCAATAAATATATATTTTGCTTTGGAATTCCTTTTTTTTCTTTCTCCTTTGGATTTAGAGAGAGAAACAGATGGAGAAGGAAGAGGAGAGAGAAAGTGTGTGAAAGGGGAGGGGTGAAAGAGACGAAGCTCCCCAATTCCCTGTATTCCAATAACGATTCGATTCTTGGGGTGACAGAGAATTTGGAGATCAAAGCGATGAAGCGAGTGAGACGTTGATCCGATCAGAGAGGACTGAGGGACTCCATTAAACAATGCACCTTCCCTTTTATAGGCTCCTGGAGAACCGCTTCAACGGCTGAGATATTCTAATCACTTTCACACCAAAAATAATACAAAAAAAAATAAAAAATTAAACTCGGTCTACTTTCACTTATTGCAATTCCTTTTTTTTTTTTTTTTTTTTTTGACAATGGGGCAAAAACCCGAAAGGAAATGAAAGATCACATAAGAATATCACGAGATCACGACATCCAAATTATATATGCAACTAGTAACTGACGACAAAAAAGATGTTCCTAATGAAGAAAAGCATGCGTTCGCAGGGGCTTTATGGAGGAAACCATCTTGTCCCGAAACCAATCTTTCAGGTAGGTAACAATAACAGATTTTGGATCATTATGGAGAGCAATATCCTGTTCAAAAATACTTTTGTTTCGCTAGTGCTACAAAAACGAGCAAGTGATTCAAAAAATAAGTCTCCATTCCAAACTATCGAAGACTAAAATTTTGGAAGAGATATTGTTTTGGAACCAATTAGTAGTACATGCACCAATCAAAAATTGATCAAGAACAGGGAAACCTCTCCAAACTTTAGCAGCAAATGAGCAAACTATAAGGATGTGAATAATTGATTCAAAATAACAACCATCACATTCACCACATGAAGAATCTGTAGGCAACCTCATCTATCTCGTTGAGCATGGTCAATAATTTGTCTAGCAACATAAGCCAAAGAAAAGAGAGCACTTTAGGAGAAAAATGCAACTCCCAGATAAAGCTTCATCGTCACTTGGTATTCATATTAGCGCTTAGGTCCAACACATAGGCAAACTTCACAGTAAAGTTATCATCGCTAGTTTATCTTATATACACTTGTCTGATGAGCCACCAATACTATCCACAAGAATATTGACAGTTTTATACACAATTATTTTGGGAAGGAAATGGAGCAAACTTGATGCATCCCAATTCTCACCATAGCAAAAACCAGCCACAGACGACGTAAGCATAGTTGGCAACAGTAGTGGAAGATAAAATTTTAGAAGAGACCTACAATTTGACCAATGGTCAGTCCAAAATTTAATATTCTCATAGATCCAATACGCGAAAGCAAACATTTTTTCAACGACGGAGCAACATCAATGAAGCCTTTCTAAGTACTCGAAGCGCACTTCCACAAAGCAATATGAAACAAATGTTTATTCCCTCATGCTAGATATTTATCACATAACGTATGCACCCAAAGTCTATCATCCTGTTGAATCACCCTCCAAGAATTCTTAGCAAGCAAGACAGAGTTCATACTACGCATATTTCTATTAAGCTGATCAAGTTGATCACATGTGGAAGCAACTGGAAACTTGACAGTTTGCATAGCATTTCCCGAAAGAGAAGAAGTAACAGCTTGAACCAAATTAGTTCACCCTGCTAGTGAGAGTGTGAGCTTTCTAAGCAGCAACTCTTCTTGGATCCGTTCTACCAAGGATTGGCTTTGGATATCAGCAACTTATAGTCTTGGATACCCATCAAGACCAGGGGCTTTAGTAGCTCCAATGGAAAACAGACTATTTCGAATTCTGATATCCGTAATTTCACCTTCCAATCCATCGATATCTTCTTGAAGCATTGGAGGATTATCGCATAAATAATTACATTTCTAGGATGCAAATAGTACCACTTCAAATAATTGATAAAATAAAACAAAATGTATATAAAATGGTGTGTTATTGGCACACTAAAATAGAAAAATAACACTAGAGGTGAATGCAGAATGACTTTCTGCCGATAATAACTCTTTAAATAGTTCATCGATAAAGTTGTCAAATAACAAACTACAAAAAAGAATTTTAGCTACCTTTTTATTTTTACTTTCATGACTCTTCTTCTCATCCTCACATCCTTTAGTCCTTATCACTTATTTAATAAATAAACGAATCATAAAATGCTGATATTTAATCTGTACAATTTTTCATGAATTTTTCATGAATTTTTCACTTTAATTTTTCCGGTTTGGAAATTGTATTTCTCGGTGCTCTTTTCCTCCGACTGTCCCACTCTGACTCTTCTACCCCACATTGTCGGCCCAAATCTTCAATCAAGGGAGCGTGAGCTTCACTCTCCACATACGCGAGTGATACTGAGCAATAAATCGTCTCCGAGAATGATCGCGAGAAGGAATTTTTTATTTACCATGGGCCGCCCAATCTATCCAACCAGTGATAAAATGGAGGCCCATTGAATTATGATTTTTGCTTTTCTTTTACTCTGCAAAACGCTGCCGTATCGCACGCAAGTCTTGAGGACCAAGTCGACTCACTCGATCGGCTTCCCGCATGCTTTTAAAGGAAACACGCGCGCATGAAGTGAAGAGCTGCAAACCACACCTCCCGCCGGCTCATGATCGAAACATATCACCTGTGCCTTTTGATCGGACGGCTGAGAGCGGCCCACTATTGCTACTTGGTCCCACCTCATCACTAACCCCGTTTTCCATCTTATGATTCTACTTTATTGAATTTCATGATTGATTAGATATAATCATATTATATGTATATGTGTGTGTGTATATATATATATATATGTATATGTGTATAAATATAGGATTATATTCACCTGTGAAATCTTGGGTTCTTGTATATTTTGGACATGCTTTTATTCCTTCCCAGCCGATCTACTTGTTACATCTCAAATTTTATGCTACAATCTTTCTCCTTACATCTCATTCGTCGTAATATTAATATTTTGTATTACTAAATAGAAAAATCTTTCGAGTCATATGTTCATTATTCTTCACGTTAATCACGATTTCTTTTTTCAGTCTTCTTGAAAAAAAAGTTAGGTCAAAAGTAACTCAATACTATCATTTATATCTAATTCTCCTTTGAACACCCCTACAATATTAATTTTTAGACATTTGAAAAATTAAGAAATAGCGCTTAGATCTGCTTAAGTACCCATCTAGCACACCGAGACATGTTTAGGCACCCGTCTAAATCGCAACCCTCTTAAACAGAAAATAAATAACTTTCATTTTGCATTTTATTTTTTTTCAATAAATTATAATAGACTTGTTGAAAACTTAGATTAACACACATTACATGCATGTTTCCCATGTTTTCATTATGTTCTAATACTTTATAATCTATATGTAATTCTATTTTGTAATTTGTGTATCCCAATGCAATTATTTATTTTTTAAGTATGAGAAAACACTTATTTATATAATATATAATAAATGTACTTACATCTGCTTAATCCGCCTAGTCCGTCTAGCCTGCCTAGCCATCTGCCTAAGCCTTGCTAGCTGTTTAGACTCTAGGCTCCAGCCCACCGCCGCCTAAGCGCTAGGCTCCAGCCCACCGATGCCTAAGTGCTAGGCCCCAGACCGCCACTTAACTCTTTTAGAACCTTGATTAGTGGATAAATTTTTTGCCGACAAGTCAGAATTATATAAACAAATTTATGAAATTAGCATTGCACTGTTTCCATAAGGTAGGGTTAGCACCATCATGCAACAAATCCTTGGAGGAGTAAATCCAAATGGTCAATGCTAGAAGAATTTAAATTACGATAGACCCTTCAAATAAAACAAAAACAGTAACACAGAAAAAATACTTACAAAAATTGCATCCATGAAAAATTGGGGCAGGAAATGATGATTAGCAATATTTTAACAACTAATTTCCAAAACAAAAAAGGATTAAGTTGTCCACAAGTTGACAATAGCAAGCGTATATATGAAAAACTATTTGCTTTTGCATGTTTTATGTCCCAAGTAATCATTCTTAATTACTTTTTTTCATTTGGCCTTACATTCTTAACTATTCCTTTGAGCTAATCACAAGTCAAAAAGGAAAAAAGAAAAAGAGAAGATAATATGAACAAAGGGTGCCGAAACAAAGCAACCCAAAACGATGGTGGCGGCCGCAACAAAAGTGGCAGTGTTGGTGGCGGTGGAGCCCCAAAGGCACCACCACTATACCTGCATAGTTTTGTGTCCATGGAGGGACTGAAAATCCATGTAAAATGGAGAAAGTTTGAAAGTGTTAGTCATACCCCATACACGTCCCCCACCTGGAACCGTTGAAACGGGGATTTGTCGGGAGGGTGCGGGTCATGATTCATCTCTTGCCCCGCTTTGAGGCCATACACAATACGCACTCGGATTAATATTTTAGTGCCCACTTATATAATTCATTTTGTTAATTTCCATACTACCTTATGCATAGTTGCGGATTCTGAATTTGAATCTTTGGGGGTTCTAGTGTTAATACAAATAGAAATAGAGCACAAAGCGTACAAAATTTATTCACTGCTGCATTTTGTTGACATTTGTTAGGCTTGTTGTCGTCACCAAAATCATGTTATCCACATGTGAATAGACATCGACATATGTCGAATCAATCTCAATGGCGGCGCACGCTGTTAAGCATGGCGGGAGATTTGGCTGGGATGAGTTAGGTCCAGAATTTCTGTTTAATATTTTAGCAGAAGATGCAAATGTAACCATTTGTATTTAATCTTAATAAAGTTCTATCTTTCAAAAAAGAAAAAAAAAAGATATCTCGTTTCAACACTTTACCATATGGGAGAAACTGATATAGAGAGAATTTATCGAATGCTATCAAAATGAAAACTAAGCATGTGGTAGTGTTGTGAAATTGAAATATATTCTACTGCTCACTAAACATGTGGTAAACTAAACGTGGGAGAATTTGATATAGAGAGAATTTGTTGAATGATGTCGACGCAAAGTATTGAGATATGCTTAGCATGCATTACATCAAACATTTAGTAGGCACAAAAGGGATATGTACCAAACAATCAGAGGGTTCTCGAAAGACCTTCACATGTATATTTTATGAACTCTGGGTGGTCCTAAAGCCACCTGGTCCTTATTTCCATCCACCCATGCCCCTGCAGCCTAAACCTCAACATATATGTTGACATACATCATATTGGGTATATTATCATTAACATTACAATTTAACGATATTCCTCTTCACTTATAAGTTATTGATCTCACATGTTA